CTTCGGTCAGATAATTGCCCACCTAACAGAGACACAGCCAGCATAAACACGCAATGGGCAATATAACTCAAATTGCCACTACTCTGAGTCCTTGCTAAGGCAAGCCAATCAAAATTAATGACTTCTCAAACCATTAGAGTTCAAGCTCAAATCCTTGATGGCATTCAAGAACTGTAGTTGAACTCAAACCCACCAGAGCTCAAGATTCATTCAGCAATTTAAAATTCAATTTGCTAGCAACTAAAGCCATTTGGCAACCCTATGGATATTCACAAGGTTCACATTCCAAAAGCTCAAACACTCAACTAAATGGTCATTGACCTAGATATTTGGGATTCACAATAATGAAACAGAATCACATAAAAAGTTACCAATCCAGACTCTCAAACTCAATTGACATGACTAAAAACCCGCATACCTCGGCGAGTTCCTCAAGACGAATAAGCACTCTGTCAGCTTGTGGAACCACCTGTCACTCACAAATTACCACCATAAAAATCAAACCCAGATAATTCATTGTCAAAAAACACAAAGTTGAAATTAGCAGTGCAGCCACATGTAATGTTTGGAAAACCACAAACTATTTTGAAATTGCTTCTTCAAACAAGTATAGATAAGAGAGAAAAAATACCTTGGTGGGTTCCCATTTCTTGGAAATTGCGTTAACTCTCAAAGAGTTTCTTCGCAGACCTGCACAAAACCCATATAAGAAATCAGAAAAAAAATTTAAAAATTATAATAAAGTCTAGACATTCAAGAAAGATATAAGAAAAGTGTCAAGAAAGGAGTTAAATTCAACACACCTGGCAGTAGCTTCTGGTTCGACAGAGAAGCAGTATTGGGTTTGCATAGCAAAGGGTTTGGTAGAGTGACGAAAGTGGAAGCCATGATAGAGGTCAAACAAAGATGGAGAAAGAAAATGAGCAAAGGTTTAGTAGAGCTGCTGAGAATGAAGAAAATGCTCTGTTTGCAAGAAGCGGGCAGATATCTTAAACCCTTGTGTGAGATAAGGAGCGAGTAGGTGAAGCTGCAGAGTTCTAGATGGTCCGGCTCCTCGACATTTTCTGTTGTAGTGTTGTGTGTGTCTGTGCAAGGAAATGAGATTTGGTTGGGTCTACTATGTTTGGTTCAAGCCCATCTATTGGTAAAAGAAAGTCTGTTTGGTAATGGAAATAGTGGGCCAAAACCCAAGTATTTCTTGATGAGGATTTATATAAGTGATTAGAGTTCAATTCGTAATTATCCACCCCTTAGGCCGTGTGGGCGGCGGTGGGTGAATAGTTGCGGATTATGGTTAAATCTAAAATCATAAAATGTGTTTTATGTTTCAAAAAACAAAAGTTAAACGCTACTGGTGAAGCCTTCTGCCTCGTATAGAAGAAAAAATTACATGGAACTATGACATACTTTCTCTATATATGTATCTCTTCTCACGTGACTATGAGTTTTAAAAATAAAAAATAAAAAAGGGGGAATAAAGGTGTAGGGAACTGAGATATGCAAACAAATGGGTGCAAATGGAATTTTTTTTAAACCCAGAATGGTTTGCTTTGCCAATAATTGGCCCAAACCCTACTCGTCTTCTATAGTTCCATTAGTACTACTAATCCCCCAAAATCCGTCAATATTAGGCCCCACCTAATTTCCAATCTTTTGAAATGCGCTCGACTTTCTTAAGAAAAAGAAATCCATGCACAGAACACACAGCGGCTACAAGGGACCACCACCACCCATCTTTTTTGTCTTAAACTCTGCAACATTGATCACTATTCAAGCACTTTCCTCCTCACACTTCTCTTTTTTCTTCCCCTGGAAAATCTCTGCTTTCTCACTCCCTTTTTCCATTCCCACCAAGCAAACACCTCTCT